CAATGACTGGCAATAGAATCTTGATTGTAGCAAATAACTACCCTTAGCCAAATTTGAGGTATACTTAATGGAGAAGAAAATAATAACTCCAGAAGTGTTTTTAAGATGGTTGTTTACTTTGTAATCTGGCAGCATGGTGAGTAAAAATTAAAAAGGTCCATAATTTCACTTAAACAGAGTAAAGGAAACTTTAGTTGTACAATGGAAATAGATGTTTTGATTAGCAGAGAAGATGGTAAGTTGTGAGGTGATGCTCATAGGAAGCCAAGACATTTTGGTTCTTTTCTTAATTATATTTATAACCAGAGTTACAAAACTAAGGTTGAAATGTTTAAGTTACCACTTATTGACTTCAAGCCTCATTGCTTGTGAGGTATTCTCATCCAGAGTGGACTGCAGTTTCGACCTCGCATAGGTCGCTTAAACACCTCCGACGATACGCGAGCCAGAACAGTACGGTGTTCAATCTCTACACGTTTAATACCACGCGACATTTCAACGAATGCCCTACGACCACATAGCAGATGGGATTTTCAAGGAAAGCCGGACATTTTCGCATATCACATTCTGTGGTGGATATTTGCTGTAGCAATTGACTACATTATGTTTCGTTTTTCAGTAGGTTTTCGAAACTACCATACATCATTAATATATGAATACTTTTTGGGAATGTAAAGCTATGTGAAATTCAATGTAAATTTTATGTCTACTTATATTATTGTTGGAAAATTTAAACTACCAGTTCCCTTATCACTGCATACCTAAATGCTCTATGGTGGTCTTGAAAACCCACTTATAAAACGAAATATAAGGAAATATTTAGTCAAAGCGGAGACCTTTTTTTATGTCCTAATTTTGCCTAACTTACTTCTTTCTAGGAAGATAGGCAAATTAATGATAGAGGGGGGATAAAAATTAGCCTAAAGAAAACTCGGACACATTTCTCGGTTATGACTTATTTTGGAGAGATCAGACTGCTAAAACGTTTTGTGCTTTTGTGGCCGACCTTAAGTTGGTGAGACGTGTTGGCCTACTCACCAAAGATTAGCGTTGAACAATAGCACCCAGAACATAGGACAATGTTTTTTAATGGCAGATGGGTCCAACTGTGAAAAGTAGTCGAACACAAGGCAGTGACTGACACAAGCTAGAAGAGTATCTAGCGCATTGGTTTGCTGATTACGGCTAGTCTACCATGATACGCAAGATAATAGAAGCTTAACCAACTAAACTAGACGTTCAAGATTACGCAATTTTAGTCATGCAGTTCCTTTGGTCATTAAACCTTCGTGACCTTTGTCCGATGGATTACTACTGATCTTCCCGTAACCTGACCTACCCAAGTACAGTCTTATATCTCATCATCTAAGCCAGAGACACTTATGAAGTCACGCAATCTCAGTCATAATTTTCTTTTGGAAATTAAGCCTTAATAGCTCGAGACAGTTTTAGGGATATTTTCTAATTACTCTGAGTTATGGCAGGTATTGCATACAGACGTTAACGCACACACCCTAAAGCATACAGAAAGACGCATTTGAGCATAAGTACCATGGTTACTATGAGGGGGAAATAAAAAAATAATTATATATATATATGTGTATATATTTTTTTAATTTTTAGTTAACACATAAAGGGATATCTCGTTGACTGCGTCAATGAGAACGTTGTATTAAATAAAAATTGCTGCTGAATGACGGAAATCCGCCGTTATCTTCCAATGAGATCAACCAACAAATCGCTTTATCATGCAATCTCATTAGAAATAAAAACCTCAATTATCGTTCTAATTCCCCAGAGTTATGGCTAGTGGTTTTGTACTCTTATTATACACGCACATAGTGAAGCAAATAATTTGTCATAGTTACATAAACATGGATTAACTAGATATTTCTATATCTTCTGTTTTTTTCCGTTGATATTACCATCCCAACATGCATGCATGAGGCGACGCAGAGTTGGGTTGAAGGTCTTGAGGGAATGAGATGCCTATCAAGTAGTGTGAACGACAAATACTTGATTTATTGCGCCGAAACCGAGGAAGACTGGTTAATAGACTGCATCACTCTGGACAACAAAGTAATAGCAAGCAACTATGGAAGAACTGGAATTCACTATCGTCTTCTGGTGAGCTCTACCTGCTTTCACTACACGAGGCATTTTCATGTGAAGTGAAATTTGCCGCAACAATGGGTTTTGGAGAATGAGGTACGTTTGTGGTTAAATTCGTTTCCTAGGTGAATGGCTTTATCCAGAAATGAACACCCAATTGCAATTTCGGCTTGTATCTCAAAGAGGATGAGCTTAATAAGAGCTCTTGTTTGTATCAGCTTATGAAGGATTGATGGTTGAATTTTTCCACAATCATATGATTAGGCCTCAATATGCCACTTACTTCCACTCATTTTTTGGACTCATTTCCATTTCGAGCGAAAGTGTATAATAAATAGCTTGGAAGGTCGATCCCGCCAGAAAATGATGGTGGCTTCCTCTTGGCCTGCCGGTGGTTGGCTTTACCGGATAGTTTTGCATGACGCTGTCCTCGAAACTGTCTCCTACGATTTCACCGAATACGTACCAAGCCCTCGTCCGTCACATTATGGACAGCATCAGATCAAACTGTCATTCATTCAAAAAACTTAAGATAATGGCATAAAACAAAAAATAAATAAATAAATAAATAAATAAATAAATAAATAAATATATATATATATATATATATAGCCAAAGTACAACGTTATTTGACTACTTCAAGTCATCGTTTAATTTAGAAACATATGAATGCATTTGTGCTTTGTGCCCTCATGTGTTTCCAAGTGCACGGAACTAGCCGTAATAATTGAAAATAATTATCGGGTCGACTTTTCATTCCTATAAAGTGCATAGAGACAAGATTCGGAGGTCGATCTCACAATAAAAAGACGCTTGACTCCCGTTTTACTGTAGTTTTTTGGCTTTAATACGATTTTCAGGTTGACGCAGTCCACCAGATATCCTTCTTCCTTTGGGATGAAACAGGCTGAGATTTCGTCTACCATAACCTGGACATCTTCAGAGCTGGAACTTATCCTTGTAGGAGTCCCAAGTTAACATCAGGCCAAGAAGACTGTCCGGCCCTACTTTAACAATTATATATACTAACAACTAAAAAACGATAATCTATGGGCATAGATAGATTTAAGATGGTTTAGCTAATTAGCTTCCATGCTAGTTATGCCACTTTTGCTCACATGTGTGTTGTTGTGTGTGTGTGTGTGTGTTATAGTCTACACGCAATATGGGTCCCAAATAAGAATGATCTAAAAAGCATCATGTCAGACTGTGATCATCAAGGCTTGATAATCCAAGAAAAAGCCCTAACCAAGATTGTGCAAGTCCGTAAGCAAGTATGGTTGGGATAAGGAGATGTAAGCTTGTGTGTGTGTAAGTCAAGTTATGAAACCACTTGTCGTAACCCCTCAATCTGGGGTCATTGAGATTCAATAACCCAAGGAAAAGCATGACTAGACCTGCGTAATCTGGTGCGTCTGGTTTGGGTTGAGCTTAATCTAGCCTGTTGGACGAGTGAGTGTGAAGTTAGAAGCATCACTGAGCGGGCAAGTTGAGATGCTTTCTTTTGGACGACGGCTCAACACCCTCTCTCTCCCTCAATCTATCAATCAAGTATAAGTATTTCATACTCAACTTTCTACCACCGTTCTTCACATTCAACATTTTTCCTAAGCTATCAATTTCAATAGCCTCTCTCATCCTTCTTTTAACCACAGACCTACCATAATCAACAAACCTACTACTTTGGGATCATTCTATTTCATGTCTACTTTCTACCATCTGTTCGGCCACTTCTGACCATTGGACTCTGCTACCTTTACAAGATTTTTTGTGCTGCCTTAATCTCTGTCGAATAGGTCGACATGTCTCTCCAACATGACATTGACCACATTAGCAAACAATCTTGTAGCAACCGGATCTCGATAATGGGTCATCTTTCTCTATAAAAGTGTGAGGGTTTTTTTAAATATTGTTTTTCTCTT